GCTTTGTATGTGATATCGTGTACACGTCGCCTGACATGCAGCCCGCTTTTTTCTCCTTTGTGTCGTTTCTGATTTGGTTCTAATATCAGCCCTGCGCCACTGGTTTAACTAGCTTTTTAGTCTGTGATTCAATACATTCATACTTGAATTTGTTTTGAAGTCTATGGCAGAGAAAGAATTAGCCCCGCGGGGAAGTTTCTAATTGGTTAAAGCTACTGTGGTTCCGCGGTATAACGGATTTGCAGGATATTCGCAATGGTTTTCCAAGTTGTGATAGCGATGATCCACAGTCTTTTTGCATTGTGTCTAGCTGTTTCTAGTTGTCGAGACTAATTGGAGGTCACACCACTCCACTCCTTGCCCACCAGTACAGTATACCAAGCCAATTGAGAATAACCATCATCAAACATAGTAGTGAAGTTACACTTCTCGAGATATGCTCAAAGGATGCTAGATAGCAGCACAAGCGGAAATAACCGCTACGCAAGGTGAGACCTACCGGCCAACCCAACTGGTGGCGAAGAGGTGCAATTGATAAAAACCCAATCCGCAATCCTGTTTACATATTAACAATTTGTGATAATCCCCAAGCGGATCGAATTCGGTCGATATACTCGGCGAGGGGCGATCGCTATCTCGAAGAAACTCAATGGCCCACCGTTTCTGGGTATGTAGAAATCGACTCGACTTTTAGTGGTCCTTGGCCGTTCGCTGATGGGTTTTATGCTAGCCAGTCAACGCCCGTCCACCTTGCGGAATACTGTAGAATTGTCCGTAGAACTCGTCTTGATGCTGAGCTTCCAGGGGCTACTCAAGGCGATCGATCACCATCTCAGAGAAATTCGATGGCCCACCGTTTCTGGGAATGTCGAAGTCAACTTGATCTTTACTGATCCTTGGCCGTTCGCTGATGGGTTTTATGCTAGCCAGTCAGTCAGTTCCCGTCCACTTTGAGGAATTTTGTAGTATTGTCCGTAGAACTCGTCTTGGTATTGAGCTTCCAGCAGCCTGTCTGGCCTGTGATGCGATCGAGATGTAACTTATCTGCCGTCATGGGCATGCTTCAAGTTGACCTTTTCTTTTCCTGTCAAAAGAGTCTTTTTCCCAGTAGAATTCATTGAGCTGTAATCTCGTCAAACTCGTCTGGGAAAGGAAAGCGTTGCGGCTGTGGTCGTGTTCCTAGCATACGAACCACCCCAACCAAGATTCCGGGAGCTGGCTTGTTATTACTTTCTTCGCCAATATTGCAGAAGTAAAATTTTTGGAGGATCGTGTTGTTCTCCGACGCTCTGGCGCAGACGAGCTTTGGATGACGCGATGGTTTATGCTTGTTGAGTGCCTGCAGGAATGCCAATCTATCTAGGATGGGGTTAGTTCTCAGACAAGACATAATACAGACGAAACACTCACAGTCCATGCGGCAAGGTCATGTAGGCGTGACGGAAGCACATTGATATCCTATCCTTCGATCTTTCACGGTGTATGCAGCCCGTTCGTGTAGCGTAACTCCATAGCGGGAGTAGATTTGGCGATTCTTGTATCCTTTGATTCGGATCTCGCGTGATAAACTCTTGGCTTGGCTTGAGGAGTCGAGTCTTGTATACTAGATTGATAGAGAAATTGTTCAATTGATAGCTGCGTATTGTAAACGGAGCCGCTTTTCTGGAAAAGCTTTGTCATATGGGAATGAATCCAGGATATCGAACATTGTGGTTGGCTTCTCTGATTTGATAGGAGGATGGAAGATTGTTTGGAGAGAGGAAGAAAAGAAGATAGAGCCCTGGAAAGGTGGCTCTTTTCTTTTATGTGTATAGATAGGATTTCACATTCCCCCATATACGTTCACTGATTTTGTATACATCAATATGGAATCTTGAATGGAGTCTACAGGGGACGGACATATTCACCTAAAAGCCAGAGGATTCAATGAATGTGCTTGTTAGGCGCGGAGCTTTACTATCCGAAAGGGCGAAGGACTTGCATTGACAGGTTAATGGATAGACCAGGTATTCTTTGTATGAGTAAGGAGTAGTCGGTCTGAAGAACTATACATACGTACTTGTGGTTGTGGTGGTTGGTGGTTCATGCTGTGGGGCTTCCCCGGGAGATCCACACGGTCGACCCTACGGAGTACCCGCTATACAATTCTGCTCAACTCGGGCTTCGATTCTCGTACTCGGGTTTGGGTTTTCCTGGAGGGTGCTCAGTGAGGGGAGGGCGTAGAAGTATAAACAGCAAAAAGACAGCAAAAAGGGCAGATAGTATACATCTACATACAGCGACATGCACATGTCTGGTCTACTACCTGTCTATCATACACATACACATACACATACACATACACACACACACGCACACGCATACAGCACGTGCATTCCCTGACCGCGTTGAACCCAGTCTTCGACGAGGGAGGGTATCTCGGTACTGTTCAAGCCCATGGCTCATCTCCTATCCTTTCGTCCAGCAACCCCTAGACCTACCACAGAGGAATGAGAATCAAGAACTCTTGGGCGCAAGCGACCCCATCCACGAACTATCCTTGGGCTCAGTCGCCGCTGTCGCTGCCGCTGCCGACTCCTGCGGCCCCTTATACCGCTTCACCCCACGGTTCGGGACCAACTCCAGCGTCAGGTCCTTGGCATCCTGCAACCGCCGCACCGTCTCCTCCCGTCCCAGCACGACCATCGTCTCCGGGATCCCGGGGCCCGGTGCTCCGCCGGACAGCGCCCACCTCAGGTAATGGTACAGTTCCTTCTTGAAAAACTTGTCCGCTGCTTTGCGGGCGGCCTCGTTTTCTGGTTGCTGGTGCTGGTGCTGCTCTTCTGAGATAATGGCGGACGACCCATCGTAGGCGGCGATATTGGCACGGTGGGTGTCGAGCGTCCAGTGGCTGGGGGGCACAAGAGTGAAAGCCGTGGCGGCCGTGTGGAGGGCGGAGAGCGGAATCGCGGCGGCGGTGGGCGGGTAGGTCGCCGACGGGGAGGAGGCGGGCGTATAAGACGGGCGGGTCAGGGTCGCGGCCGGTTGGAAGAAGGTGGAGTTGCGCGCGAGGAAGTCTTCCGGTTTGGTGTAGGATTTGGCGTCCGCTTGGAGGAGTGGGGTGATGTAGGATGTGAGGGAGCGGGTTTGGAGGATGGGAGCGCTATGGATTGTAAGTGGTTTGTTTGTTTGATGATGGAGGGTGAGAGGCAAGACGTACAGTTGCTCTGGAGGGTAGGTGGCTTCGACGGCCGTGGTGAGTTTCTGCACCATCTCTTGGAATTCTGCGCTCTCCGGGGCGGAGGCGAAGCGCTGCGCGTGCGCTTTCTGGAGGAACCAGAGCTTTTCGAAGGCAACGACAGTGTTGCCGCGGGTGATTTTGAGGTTGAACTGGTTTGCGGGGTCTAGGGTTAGCTTGATGTGCTGCGTACTGGTGGGATGAAAATCTTTAGGACAAGACTTACGAGTTGTTCTAGTTCTTCGAGGCTGAAGATATCGGATTTTTGAGCGTGTGACCATCCCAGAAGGGCGGCGAAATTTACGAGAGTCGCGGCGAAGACGCTTTGCGTGTCTTTGAAGAAGCTGAGATCGATGTCCGCATTGCGCTTGCTGAGCTTCTGGCCGGATCGGTCCACGAGGAGAGGCACATGTCCGAAGTGAGGCGGGGTCCATTGGAAGGCGTTGTAGAGAGAAACGTGCATCGGGGTCGAAGCCATCCATTCCTTGTAGTTCCTCCATTAGATTTTGCTTCGAGCTGGCAATGCGGGCCGCGTAGCTTACCGTGCCACGAATAACATGCGTGATCTTCATGAGGTGATCGTCCACCACGTTTGCCAAGTGATATGTCGGGTGCCCATCTGACTTGAGCAGGATGGGATCATCGTACACCCGCTCGATGAGGTCCAGCTTGTTGGTCGGCCGGTTCTGTCCCGTCTTGCCGTAGACCAGGTCCTGAAACATGGGGTATCCTTCCACCTTCAGCCGGATAACATGCGCCTCGCCCTTAGATGCCTTTTCTGCGGACTCCTCAGCGGAGATTTCAGCGCATTTCCGGTCGTATCCCGGCGCAAGTCCTGTTTCGCTGCGATGCCGTGCGTGCGCGTCCAGTCGTTCTGCAGAGCAGAAGCAGCGATATGCGTGGCCGTTATCGACCAACTCGTGGGCGTGCTTGCGATAGGTTTCGGTTCGTTCGGACTGCGACGGGCCAAGAGCGTTAGCTTCCACTTTGAAAAAGGCACATCAATTTGCAGACTCACCTGTCTGTAAGGACCGTATGGGCCCCCAACGATCGGACCTATTGCGACCCGCTTTCTGTCAGTATGCATCGCATGACAGCGCGACATACAATACACAAGTGCTGACCTTCGTCCCAATGTAACCCCGCCCAGCGAAGATCATCGTAAAGCCTCTGCTCGGCCCCCGGAATCGTACGTTTCTATATGACATCCATCGTTCAGCCCACAGGTCTCACGATTGCCGAGTTGTTTGAGCCTCGAACCTGGTCGGTATCTTCAATGCGAAGCAAGAATTGGCCGCCGGTGCGCTTGGCCAGCAAGTAGTTGAATAATGCCGTTCGCAGGGATCCGAGATGAAGATAACCAGTGGGCGACGGCGCGAAACGAGTTCTAGCAGGGCCGTCGGGGAGATTGGTCTTCTTGTTGTTGCCCATGCGGAGTTTGGAGCTGGGCGCGGCGGCGACGGAGGAGTAGCCGGCGCGACATTGCGTGCAGATCCATGTCTGGCGGGCCCGGAGGCTGGAGATCGGTCGTCGCAGCATCATGGCCAAGAGCTGTCAAAATGCCCCACGATCACAGGGGGCACGCAATGAACAAACAAAGCAATAGGGAAAGATGTGGGGAGGAGATGCGAATCAGTAAGAAGCTCGGCGGAGGTGAAATTAAATCCGACCGCAAAAAAGGCGGACGCGGAAATGCCGGACATGTGATTGGCCTCATCCAGCGGCAATAAATTATTATCACAAGCTTTACTTTTGCCGTTGTTTTTCCCTTCTCGCTTGCGCAGTCTTATCCCCCCAGAGACAAGATTTCCTTCCCCCGGCGTGTCGTTTCTTGCTCGGTGTCGTCGTTGAACTGTTCTCTGCTTGAATTTTACTCTCTCATTTTCATCCAACTGATACCCCAGTCTTTGTGTTTCTGCTTTGTTCGTCACTCGGGATTCTTACCCGTCACCGCCTGCCAGTATGTTATCCAGGAAATTTTCATCGATTTGAAATCGCTATGCTGACATGCTGCAGTGTCTTCTAAGGTTGAGATTGATCTCTATGGTATAGTACCTAAGCTACTCGAGATACGACGGGAAAATATCGGCCAGCGACTAATCTTTCCGTGCTTTTGCAGAGGTCCTCGAAATTTCCAGCTCCGCAAGCAAAGAAGAAATCCGCAAGGCGTACCGCAAGGTGAGACAGGATGTCAAATGTCATTGTGCACAACTAGCTCTGACAACTTATCTCGTCATGACTTAGGCCGCGCTTGCCAACCACCCGGACAAGGTTCCCGAAGCCGAGCGAGAAGCCGCAGAGGTCCGCTTCAAGGCCGTCCAGGAGGCCTACGATATCCTCTACGATGAAGACAAGCGCCACCTCTACGACACCCATGGCATGAGTGCGTTTAACGGTTCTGGTGAGCCGGGGATGGGACCAGGCGGTCCGGATCTCGATGACATCCTTGCGCAGATGTTCGGTGGGATGGGCGGCATGCCTGGCGGCATGCCCGGCGGACCTCAGGCGCGCAAGCCCCGCCGGAGTGCGAATGAGGAGCAGAAGTATGAGGTCAGCTTGGAGGATCTCTACAAGGGCAAGACGGTCAAGTTCTCGAGCACCAAGAACGTCATCTGTTCTTTGTGTCGGGGCAAGGGTGGCAAGGAGCGCGCTACGGCCAAGAAGTGCGCCACTTGCGACGGACACGGTATGCGTGCCTTTTTGTGTTCATGCAGGGTCATCCTGAGCTAATTGCTGTGTGCTGTAGGTGTTAAGCAGATCCTGAGACCCATGGGCCAATTCCTTTCTCCTACCATGGTGACCTGCTCTACGTGTAAGGGACAGGGCGAGTTCTTCAGCGACAAGGACAAATGCAAGAAGTGCAAGGGCCAGAAGACGACCGAAGCGAAGAAGTTGTTGGAGATCTACATCCCTCGCGGGGCGAGGTAAGCACGTGTGTCTGGACTGCTCGGGAACGATGGCTAATGTTTACGTCTAGGGAGGGCGACAAGATCATCCTGGAAGGCGAGGCTGATGAGGTGCCGGGTCAAGAACCCGGAGATATCATCTTCCACTTGGTCGAGGAGGAGCACCCGGTGTTCAAGAGAGCCGGTCCCGATTTGACAGCAGAGATCGATGTCACGTTGGCCGAGGCCCTGACCGGTTTCTCCCGCGTGGTGATCAAGCATCTCGATGGTCGTGGAATCGAACTCAAGCACCCCAAGGTTCCTGGACAAGTGCTTTCCCCCAACCAGGTCTTGAAGGTCCCTGGCGAAGGAATGCCGATCAAGCGCGGCGACGCTCGTGGTGATCTGTACCTGATCGTCAACATCAAATTCCCCGATGAGACGTGGAAGCCTACGCCGGCGGTTCTGGAGCAGCTCAGAGAGATGCTACCTAAGCCGGATGCCCCCATTCCCGTCGAAACGGTGGATGAGGTCGAGTATGATCCCAAGGGAAACATTGAGGACTTCGGAGCTCATGACCCCGAGGGCGGATCGGCCTGGGAGGACGACGACGAGGAGGGCGAGACTGCGCAATGCACGACCCAGTAGTGGAGGCATTTTTTCACGTTCTTTGTTTTCTATTGTTATTCTTGCGTTTTTGTTGGACCTCGATACCTATTTAGTTGGGTCCATCTCATGGTGATAGACTTGCTGGTTATGTTAGATCCGGCTCCACTCTGGCATCATGGGCGTTACAGGATTGACCTCCCATGAACGGATGAATGAAAAAGAACAACTTGATGATTTCAACTAGACAAGATGTTTTTGTTTTGGAGGGGTGCGTTATGATGGTGCGTCATAGGCAGGGGGGGGGGGGGGAAGCCCACTCTCTCCTCTCTCCGCGGGGAAAGCGTGGGATGTCATCTAGTCAGTCAGTAGTGGTTAACGTTACAACTCAGCGCAACTGTCTCACTCTCTCGTCCGAGACTAGACCACGCCACTCTGTGCGTGTGGGAATTTCCCTCCCCCGCGGCACCGGTACTGAAGAACAAAATCACTCGAAAGAAGCAACAGCAGAGCCTTTCAGTCTCCCCAGTCACCACCCTCAGCTAGAGCATGGAGCGTGGAGCGTGGAGCGTGAACGTGAACGAAGCTGGAGAGTCCGGCGACTCCAACGTAACCCCCACCCTCTCTGATCCGCCCAGAATCCGGGATAGCGTGGGGTAGCCAAACAGAAGGGAAAATCAATGATGGAAAACCAAACCCGGAACCGAAAGCCACGCGATCGGGGTTTCCAGCTTGGAAGTTCCCCAAATTCCACCTCTTCTTTTCTGGTTCTCTAATCTTGTCAGGCTGTCTCTTGGGACTGATCATCAATTAGAGATTTAAAAGGTAACCATTCCCCCCCGGATACAAACCCGGACATTTTTCCTTTTGTTCTCCTCTTCCGAAAGTCCAGCCGATTTTCCACCCCCGCACTCGGGTTGGCTTATCTACGTACTGCGAGTACAACTGTAACTTGCTGTCCGTCTACGACTCGGAGGTTCTGGCCCGAGGGCATTCGGCACTGGCAATTCGGGGTCTCTCCGATTTGAGTCACGGGTGAGTCTTGGCGGGGCTTCCTACTAGATATACCGTGTCTATGTCTATATAAACTAGACGCGGACGTACAGTAATTACTGATCGGCAGAAGTTCTAGTCTCATATACTAATCCGCCTTTCGCATTTCACATCCCCAAAAGATGCCGTGCGGGTCCCAAGCGGCCTGCGAAGGTTGCTCCTGCAGCGCCAGCAATGGCACCCCCGCACCTGTCAACATCGAGGACTGCGAGTCCGAGCTGCTGGCGCTTCGCAAGCGAACCATGGAGCTGGAGAAGACGTTAGCGACGATGACCAAGGGCGGTGGTGGTGGTGCGGGCGGCCCCAAGCGGGGTCGGAGACTGCGCTCCGCGGACTGGTTCCGGTGCGAAGAGGACCCGGGCATGATGGCGCTATACATCGAGCGCTATCTCAACTACGGGATGACTCGCGAAGAGTTGATGTCTGGCAAGCCCATCATTGGCATTGCGCAGACGGGGTCGGACTTGGCCCCGTGCAATCGGCACCACCTGGAACTCGCGAAGCGGGTTCGGGAGGGGATCAGATCGGCGGGGGGCATTGCGTTTGAGTTTCCCACCCACCCCATCCAGGAGACGAGTCGACGCCCCACGGCGTGCATTGATCGCAATCTGTCGTATCTGAGCCTCGTGGAGGTCCTGCATGGGTATTTCTTGGATGGGGTGGTGATGCTCACGGGCTGTGACAAGACGACCCCCGCGTGCTTGATGGCGGCTGCTACTGTGGTATGTTCATCACTTCCGTGATGGCGCATGGGGAGAATGGTATTGTGCTGACGCTGCTGAAGAATATACCAGCAATCTGTATGAATGTCGGCCCCATGCTCAATGGGTATGTCAAGAACGAGCTGGCGGGTTCGGGCATGGTGGTCTGGAAGGGCAGGGAGAAGTATGCCGCCGGGGAGATCAACACAGAACAATTTGTGGACTATATCTCTCGAGGGTACGTTGTGGATGTTCCTATATGTGATCGCTTCTCACCATATGTGCAACAGAACACCGTCCGCCGGACACTGCAACACAATGGGCACGGCGTCGACGATGAACGCCTTGGCTGAAGCCTTGGGTATGGCGCTGCCTGGCTCAGCCGCCATTCCTGCTCCTTATCGCGAGCGAAGCCAATGCGCATATGAGACTGGCGTCCGAATAGTAGAGATGGTTCATTCCGATCGCAAACCGAGCGACATCATGACGAGGGAAGCTTTTGAAAATGTGATAGCGGTGAACACGGCCATTGGTGGTAGCACCAATGCTCCCATCCACATCAACGCCATTGCGAAACACATAGGGGTTGACCTTTCCCTTGATGACTGGGATCGTCTAGGGTTCCATATCCCCCTCCTCCTGAACATGCAGCCTGCGGGGGAGCTGCTGGGCGAAGAATATTACCGTGCAGGCGGACTGCCCGCGATCATGGCCGAACTGCTGGACGCAGGGAAGCTGAACGCAGAAGCCATCACATGCAATGGTCATACAGTAGCGGAGAATGTGCGGGGGAAACACACCTGGGACCGTCGGACGATCCGGGCTTATGACGAACCGATTCTTCAAGATGCCGGGTTTCTCCACCTGCAGGGTACGCTGTTCGAGTCGGCCATCATGAAGACCTGTGTGATATCGGATCAATTCAGGAAGAGCTTCCTGGAGAACCCCGCCGACCCCAATGCTTTTGAGGGGGCGGTGGTGGTATTCGACGGACCCGAAGACTACCATCATCGGCTGGAAGACCCTGCAACCCCCATAACCGACAAGAGTATTCTGGTGATGCGCGGGGCTGGACCGCTCGGTTACCCCGGTGCAGCAGAGGTGGTCAACATGCATCCTCCGGGGAACCTTTTGCGACAAGGAGTCAAATCGCTCCCTTGCATTGGCGACGGGCGACAATCGGGTACCTCCGGATCTCCATCGATTCTGAACGCGAGCCCCGAGGCAGCTGCAGGGGGGAATCTGGCCATCCTGAAGGATGGCGATCGGCTGCGTGTTGACCTCAACCAACGCCGCGTAGATATTCTCGTTTCAGCCGAGGAAATGCAAAGACGTCGGGACGAACTCGAGGCCAACGGAGGATACGGGGTACCGGAAAGTCAGACTCCATGGCAAGAGTTATTCCGCAAAGAGACGGGGCAGCTGAACGAAGGGATGGTTCTTCGCGGAGCAGTCAAGTTTCAACGGTTGGCCCAGCGTTATGGGGCACCGAGACATAACCATTGATGAAATGACGCCACAACTGAAGAAAGCGAAATGATTAATCTCGCAAGATGATGATTCTTGGTCTAGTCCTGCTTGTATGGAATGTGCGCACTGGCTTTACTTCTGGTCAAGTGATGTAGACCTCAGTCTTGGCCAGTAATTCCCCTCTTGGAATATGGTCCATAGGATGGGGAAGTGTAGGCAGTTGCATATGCAGCCTTAATAGAAAAAAATAGGGCTGACTGGCTGGTTGTGTAAATGGAAGGGACTGGAACCTCGAACATTGATCACTCAGCTTGATTTCAGGCCCCAAGCCAGGAAAACAATTATAGTAAGGAGCCTCCTTACTTCCTTCTCTGCATCCAACGTGGGATTCACATTTTCCAAAGTTCACACAGCACAGCCCCTCCTCCAATCCTCCCTCCTTCCTTTCTCCTTCAATCCTCGTGTCAGGATCCGAGGCTGATGACAGCATCGCATGTTCTGATCTGTGCGACCTGCACCTCTCGGCGAAAGAGCCTCTTGTCTCGCTCCTCGGTCTCTCATTCGACTCGCCCGCATAATCCACCGACAGACACCCACCACAGCCCACAATCTCCCAAACTAAGTTCTGACACACACCCATCCAATTCGAGTCAAAGGTGTAAAAATCAGGAAAAAGGAGAAGCTGGAAAAGGTCCGAGCCAACTCCGCAAACCTCGGTTATCATCGCCTCGTTGTCAAGTCAACTGCAGATGTCTGTTCGTTCAACATCATCATCATCATCATCATCACCACCACCACCCATGACCGCGCCCGGACCTGATCAAGATAACCAGGATTTCTGTGATTGATGCGACATGATAGCATAGCCGCCGCCCACTCATAATCCCTGGTGTCATGTTGCCAAGATGGCTCATTCACCGATTTCTTTCGACATCTTATACGCTTTTCTCCGAGAATGGCCGATCTGATAGGACGGCTTGCATAAAAGGCCTGCACAGATAGGTCCGATTGCTTGTGATTTCATCCGTCCATCAGTCGACTAGACAGCCAGTTGTCTAGTGCATGGGAGGTGGTGCTTCAAGAAAAATTTGTCCGGGTCAAGGGAGCTGTAGACTAGGTAGGGGGTGGGGATCGAGACCCTCCGCCAAAGAATGAGGGCCAGAGGGTTTTCACTCTGGAGCCTGTGATTTCTTGTCGCAAAAGCTAAAGTGAAGTGTGTTCACTAAGTTTACGGGGCCCCTTCGGGTGACATAGCATGATGACGCTGATGATCGAGGGCTCCTGAAGGTCGGTGATGGATTGAGTTATCGCCATATGGTCTAGCTATCATGTCACTCCTTCGTCTACTCGAATAGGTTGTGGTGGTGATACGGTTTACTAATCCCAAGGCTGAGTAACCAGTGTACAGCCTCCCAAACAGATCACCGATGAGAATGAGATGGGTTGACACCTTCATGAGCCCGATACGAAGTTATCCACCCACTGGGTCGTCTTTCGCATCTCCACCGCACACGCGGGCACACACACAGAGCACCTCGGCCCCCTTTAGACCACCATTCATTACCACCACCACCATTATGTGGACGACATGCTGACTTGTCCTATCTCACATCGGGACAATCTCCCCGGGTCTGAGGTATAGATAGAGAATTTTAAACACACACCAGAACCACCACCGAAGTTGCAGCAGAAAACTTTAATAACCCAAACCGGTCCAGCAACAGTTCAGTGGGCCTGGTGGGTCTCGGGAGTCTCCCGCGTCGTTTTTTTCTCAGTGGGCAAAATCTGCTGTTGCCCTGGAAGGTTCCCTAACTTGACGATGGTCTCGCCCCCGTGCCTTTCGAAGAGTTTTCCTTGGGTTTCGATGCTTGGTGTCCAATCTCCACTTGGCAAATTCTTGAATCCAGAGAGTCAACAATTGCAGAGTGGAATTCGGGGCTGACCTCAGACCGCCCCCCAGGCATCCACTCACAGTCTCACACCATCACACATCTCGCTCTTCCCCCTCTCCTTGGAAAAAAAAGCCACACTTCTCGGCGCACTCGCCCTTAATTCTTTTTTGATTTGATTATTCTTTATATTCATCATCCTTCCCTTCCTGCATAGGAACTTCCTGCATCCTTCCGGGCATGCTGATCTTGCTGTTTCCATCCAGTCAGATGCGAGATTGCTAGCATGCGGTTCTAAGAAGCACTAGCAAACATCCAGCTGGGCGTCCGCCATACATCAGTCGATCGCTGCATCTCACTGCGCGTCTGCTCTTAGGTCATTTCACGGCCCCTCTCGCTGCTCTTGACCTGTCGATCCCGTTTCATTGCCAATAAAACCCGCCCCCAAACTCGACTCAATCCCGAGTCCGGACTTCCGCGACTCTCTCTGAAGATAAAAAAGAAAAAAGCAACCCATCTTGTCCTACACACGTCAGGCCTAGATCTTCTACAGGCACTGTGCATTCATACCTACTATCACACACCGCATCCTTACAGCCTGTCGACAATCAGCCCAGTCGACGAATCCGACCCCTTTCTTGAGGCACTCAAGAACATTTGCAATCATCATTGATTGCTGTCCACCTTCTACCCCTTGGGTTTTCCTTCAACTTCGGATTCTCTTGTTTCTGTCTCTTTAAATCACTATGCACCTCGCTCAATAACCCGGCGTTGCTCTTCGCAACTTTCTCTCGTCTTTCCACTTGACTTTCTTCGCCAGCAAGCAAGCGCGCTATATTGATTGTCTTCCTTACCGCTTCTCATCATTATCCCTGATCACTATATCTACTTTCAGTCGGCCCTTGGTCTCTCATCCGTCACAATGGCGCCCAACCTCTTTATCTGTCTACGCAAAGCATTCTGTCCCGTGTATTGGTTTCAGCGCGGAGAGCGCATCCACGGGTCTATCCACAAGGAGGAACACTGGGAGAGCCCTGTTCCTGGTATCTACAAGTACATCCCTGGTCGGGGATGGCACCTCATCCTCAAGGATGGCAATGAGCACGAGGAGAAACTGCCGGTGCCCCTTGTTTACTGCCGCATCCTGCACCGATACATTTTCGAACACGAGATGGAGGAGCGCTGTCGCTGGCACTCGGTGACTATCCATGAGGGAGCCAAACCCGAACGACTCCTTTTCTTTCTGCTGGATGACGGCTACACCTGGGTTGCCGGCTGGGACGCCAAGGGAAAGTTCATCCCAGGTCCGTATCAGAAGTGGCACTACGACTCGGAGACGCGCACCATGCGCCGCGAACTGTTCCCCGAGAGCTCCAATGTTTCCCGTGCCAGCATCGTGCCGAACAAGTTGACCTGATCCCCAAACTCCTCGAATGAGATGATCGACCATCGCATCTAAGTCGCGTCTGCAGCTGGTCTCTACAGCGCACGCGTTGGCCGTTCACGACCGATTCAGAACGATTCTTGCTGTTTTGAGCTAGCGTTCTAGCGTTTTCTTCCATTTCGCTTTCTTGTCTGTGTTTTCTTCGTTTTGCTTCACGTGTCACGCATAAATCGCTCATGAACTTGCTGGGACGGCTCTACTACTTTGTTTTCTGGGTAGAGGCTTTCTTTCCATAGCGACGAAGGCGTTTTGGGTCAAGGTTATAGACAACCGGTTAGATGTTTCGATTTGTTTGTTAGACATCCTGTGCTTGATGATGGGATCTTCGGAATTAGCTTTGTCAAAAGATTCTGCTACGGGCAGATTGAATATAGAAGGATGGCCGTGTTGAAAGATTTCTTCTCATGTAGAGAGCTTTGTAGTATACAGTATACACAATAGTATCCAGTGTATCGGACTAGATCTGCATCCGAAGTAAAAAAAATTTGGTTGTTGCAAGCAGAGGTGAGGATCTGTATGACAGCTGCATGAGACATGTCATTCAGGATCCTTGGGGCTGGATCGGCGGTCACAGAAAAGCATGTGATAATTTGACTGTAGCGTTATCAATGATGCCACAACATACATGTACTGTACCATTTTTCATACTTTATATCCAGGATGAATTCCTTGATCCATGATCGTGTCCAATTGAATGCCCACCTCAACCCATGTGCTCTCCTATCTTCGCTACCAATGGCTGAGAAGCATTATGCCATCCTCTGAACCAGGAAATTACTAATCTTTGTTAGGTTGCTCTTACGAATTCCCCGGAGCTCTAAGCATGAGGTCGTATATGCAACCCATCCCGAATAATCCTACACTACCAACCCAGTAGACAGATACTGTAGTCGAACACATCGATGTCTATGACGAAGGAGATCTAATCTACAACCGCGCCTTCTCACCCGCCCGCTGCTGCTGCTGCTGCTGCCCCGTATTCTCCTTCTTCACCTCCTGACCGCTCTCGCCATCGTTGCTGTTGTCGTCTGCGACCAGCAACCGCTCCAACCCCCGCCGCACCACCGGATCCATCCCGCCGGCCGTCGGCCGCATCGTCTCCCGTGCCACGAAGACATGCGTATACCCGCCCACCACCTTCACGGCCGCCTCGCCTCGCCGGAACACCCCGACCTCGTAGGTCACGCTCGAGCGCCCGAGGTGGTTGACTCGTAGGCCCAGCTCCAGGGTGTCCGGGAAGGAGACGCTGGCGAAGTAGTCGCAGTTGGAGGAGATGATGAGGCCGATTTGGGGGGTTTTTGGGGGGTTTGGGGTTGAGGTTGAGGTTTGGGGGGGTTGCGTGGTGGTTTGGGTGGTGGGGGAGGTGCGCTCCTTCTCCGCGGGGTTGTTGGCGCTGAAGGGGTTCATCCCGCAGTGGGTGATGAGGTAGGTGTTGATGATCGAGTCGAAGAGCATCGTGTACACTGTATTGTTGAGGTGGGCGTACATGTCGTTGTCGTACCTGGTGGGTTGGGTTTGGTTAGTTTTGGGTTGGCTAGAGAGGGGGGAGCTTAGGGGCTGGGGAAGGAGAGGGATGTACCATCTTGTTTGGTGGGTTTGGTGGAAGAGGTAGTCGCTGCGCGTGCGGCGCTTTTTGGCTGCGGTGGTGGTTGTGGTGGTGGTGGTGGGTGGCATTGTTATGTGGTTGAGTTAGGGGACAGGGGGAAGGGGGTTTTGGGAGGATTTCTTGCTGGAGTTTTGTTATGGGTGATGGGAGCGTATAGGCTGAGTTCGTCGGGTTGATTCAGATCAGGAAATAGTCTGCGATTGAATCTGGAGTAGACTTTAGGTTGATGCGAATGCGGAGGGCGGAGGATGTAAATGGGTTTATGATTCCTCCCGGGGATGTGGGGCAGTTTGTGATGAAGCTCAGGGGACCTTGGCTGGTTATGTCGGTTGCCTACAGTATACTGTAGTTCTTGTTCTGCCGTTCGATGCTTGAGGTGTATTCTCTAGAGAAAGTTTTCATCTGATTGAGGATATCTTTGCCCTCGCAACAGGAGAAGAGTGTTGTGCTTGCAACTTGGGACCCAGATAACATCTCGAGATGGAAATGCCGAGGTACGGTTTTGAGACTAACCACAAGTGGCTTAGCTCATGTGATAAGTGGCCGCAGACACCTTGTTTATCAGGTGTTAGATATGCCAGTATATCCAAGCTCTGTCCTCCTTCCTCTGGTTGTTCACCTAGCTGCACCTTCCTCAACCAGCGAACATTAGCATCGAGACTCAAGATGGCTCGTCTCCATTTCTTGTTTTGGAACTTCTTACCACCAACATCTACACGCTGCATGATACCAAGGTCGAATCTATCTATCAAATCCATGAATACCCCGATTCAGGCTGGTCAATAGCACAAACGATTATCTACAGTCCTTGGCTGCATCCTGTTTCATTCGATAACCAGTGGAGATCCTCTCCTTGTTAGCTTCACAATGAAGGTTTTTAACCCGAGAGCCTACATGATAGGCCTACTCTATACCATCCTAGCACACAACTTTGTCGCTGCGCTCGGGCTGGCAAATATCACGACCGAACTTGGTCTTCGGCTCTCTCCAGGTGCACGAATCATTCTCCCGAATAGTCCAGACTTTGCAAATGCCACCTACAGATGGTCTACCTTTGCTGAGCCTCGTCTCAGTGTTGTCGTTGAGATCGCCACAGAGGAGGATGCTGCGGAAACAGTATGCTCCATGCCTGTCTTAAATACTTGTTTTACTGAGAGTATACCAGGTCAAATACGCCAATGAACAAAAGTTTCCTTTCATCGCTATCGGTGGTGGTCATGGTGTAACGACTAGCTTGGCAAATCTCCATTATGGCATTGAGATATGGCTCCATAGACTCAACTGGACCATCATTTCGGAGGACGGTGATACGGCTACTATAGGTGGCGGTATCATTGCTGGTAATCTCATCCAGGCCTTGTGGCAAAAGGGGAAGTATGCAGGTATGTGCCTTACACACACTCAGTGCATGCTATGTTGCTCATGGATACACACAGTAACTGGCTCGTGTGAATGCACTAGCTACCTTGGTCCGCTCCTTGGAGCCGGCCACGCTGTCCTACAAGGGAAATATGGCTATGCCATGGATCAACTTGTCTCATTGCATCTTGTGACTGCAGATGGAGAGCTCCTTGATGTGTCAGCCTCCGACCCCGATCCTGACCTGTTTTGGGCCTTGCAGGGCGCTGGCCATAACTTCGGAATCGTCACTTCGGTAACTACGAAGATCCACGATATCCCCGACCAAGGTCTTTGGGCTCATGAGGACTACTTCTACGGCCGTGATAGCATTGAGAATCTTTTTGAGACATGGAACCAACTCCTTCCACGTCAACCTCCTACTGTGGCGATTGTTGGCTTTATCTTGCGAAATGCCAGCATGGATGCCGTGAATGTAAGCTGAACACGTCAGCAAGAATATGCCATTAACATGCTGATCAGTGGATAGCCAGTGGTAGTACTCTCTCTCATGCAGGAAAACGTCTCTCGTGTCGATCCCATCTACACCGAGCCCTTCCGCAATGCGAATCCTATCTCTGTCTCCTCCGGCTTCGGGACATACAGGGATATACCAAGGTGGTTACGATTCGATTTCAACAATCCCGTATATTGTACTACCAGGAATGTTTCCGCGCTGCATTTTCCGGTCGGTCTCCGTAGATGGAATATAACGACGCAGCGCATGGTGTATGATGCTTTTGCAGCGATTACTGCGGGCAACTCCTCGTTCAATGCTTCCGAGTTTCTGCTCGAGGGCTTCCCAGTGCAAGGCGTCAAAGCCGTCCCAGAAGACTCTACGGCATACCCTTGGAGGGGCGACAATCTCATTGCATATCCCCTTCTCAGGTACTATACAAACATGAGCCTAGATCATACGGCCATTGAGGTCGGCGAAGGATTTCGGCGAAAGCTTCTCGAGGGCAGCGGCTCGGAAGAATTGCACTCATACGTTAACTATGCTCTTGGCGACGAGTCACCAGAACAGATTTATGGCTATGAGGAGTGGCGATTGGACAAGTTGAAAGAGCTGAAGAAGAAGTATGATCCGGAGAGGCGGTTCAGCTTTTATGAGCCTATTCCTATCTGAGTGTTCTTTAGAAGGGTTGTTTTCTCTTCGATGACCTAACCATGACCTGTGTTGGGTACTATTATGACTAGATATCAATACTGTATTCATAGTCTACCTAGGGTTAAGTATTGATGGGGGAAAAGTTTTTATATGATGAATATGCTCTCGTACGCAGGCGACTGGCCGTTAAGGTGATGCAGAGTCTGGCCGTAACTGAATCCAAGCTTGATGTTGACCAGATCGTTTTGACGGGTGGCTGGTGTTTGTGGCACAGGAACCCGCAAGGGAGAGCGGGAGGATATATTATCGACCCACCGGCCTCTTTGTTGTCGTAGTGGCATTGTCGCACAGCGTCTTGAGGTTAATTTGACCCTAGCAAGGAGGGAAGACCTGGTCTGGTCTCTGCACAAAGCCTTTCCGCAAGTATTGCATGGCTGGTGTTACCGTGGAGATCATGGTATAATCCAGGCTAGACAGGAAAGGACAATGGCGTCACTTGAACTTGGAGTTGACCTCCCTGGAATGAATGGCTGGGTAGACTTCGGAGTAGATCACCACCACCGCGTCATATTCTAGCTACTAATCAACTTTCAGATTGCTAGAGCCTCAACCCGACTTGTCGTAGTGTGTGCTGTCGTGGATGAATCCGATCACCAGGGGGCCTGACCGGGGGAAGAAATGGAGCTGACTGGCCAGACTAACCAACGGAGACTAACCACACTAATTCAACCCCTCGATCCACACGTGTTGTTTTAAAGTGTTGATCGCTGCTCATAAAACAATGGAGTAAGCAGACAGGGAAGAGAATCAGTCAGGCACACAGCATGGAAGAATGACAAAAGTCAATGACTCGGTGTTATTCTGGAGGGACAACCCATGTTATTACTGAAGACATTCAAGATCCAAGACATTGAGGAACCCTTTGCATACAATAAACACGACTATTGACACTTAAATATCCACCTATTCCCCTCCCCACCGCTTCCCGCAAACCCTTTCATACCTCCCCTCCCCTCTTATACGGACTGTGCTGCTGCTGCTGCTATTGTTGTTATTCTTAGTTCTCATCGTTTCTGGCTCCTCCGACCTCTCTTTTCTTCCCCCCTACCGACTGAATTACCCAGCCAAGTCACTTCTTTGCCCCCTCTTGATCGGTCTTTCTCCTGCTTGGCGTTTTCTTCTTCTAGCCGTCTTTCAATCTTCTATTTATACTCTTGTTCTGTGTTCCATTTTCTCCTACCGCTAGGTTTCACGCCGACCCCCAAGTCTAAACTTCCGCCTCCTGCAACACGGTCCGACGTCCTTTCATTTCCGCAACTTAGTTTCCACGATTTGTCTCCTGAAGTTGCTGTTCATATCTCGTCCTTATCGGCCAACCTCTCATGAATTACGAATATGTCGACTACGACGACCACCGCTCTGGCGTCCACCATGCTGGTCGGTACCCTGCCCACTATGACACACGCCGGAATGATGCCAGGCAAGACCTGTCCGACCTGTGGATATGACCGACTCTCCTCGGAAAGCAGACCAATCGATCAAGCACAACATCGCGTGAAGGAATTAGAAGGGCAACTTGAGTTTCTCAACGTCCAGGCGACACAAATGGGTAAGGAATCTTGCATCGCAAATACCTGCACTGGGGTTGTCTTAGCTAACTCAGCCTGTGCCCAAATCAATAGCCGAGAGAATGGCCGAATATGAAGAAGAGATTCGTCGCCTCCGCGCTCAATCCACCGCACAAAGCTCCCGCAATGGCTCCTCTATATCCTCCACCTCGTCGAACCAATACAACAGAATAACAGACCTGTCAATGTCGCCTCCTTCGTCGCAGACCTCTCCGAAGTCACATGGCCAACATAGCGGGCGCTTATCCACGCTGACCTCCCTGTTGCCCTCCCGCCGACCCGGCGCCCCGAGCGCAATCCAGCCCCAGACAATAATCTCTCCACCGCCGATCACCAGCTACGAGGAAACATTGGAACTACAAAACGCGCTCAACCGAGAACAGAGCCTGCGCAAGGCCGCCGAAACACAATTGTCGCAAGCCAGCACTGAGTTGGAGGAATTGACGGCGCAACTATTCAGCCAGGCGAATGAGATGGTCGCGCAGGAGCGCAAGGCAAGAGCGAGACTTGAGGAGCGGGTGGCGGTACTGGAGCGCCGGGATGTCGAGAAGAGGACCCGACTTGAGCGCTTAGAAAAGGCGATGGAAAGAGTCGAAAGGATCCGAGCTATGGTTGGCTAGCGATTTGCAGGATGCACACATGAGGATTGTGGACGCTCCGGACTATACCCCATTTATGTACCTGTCTTGTTCTGGGTCTCCGTCCATGCTTTCAGGCTAATACTCCCAGTCTTATACCCATACCCCTCTTCTGGTTTTATTTTTGGCGCTTGGTTACTTGGTCTGCCCTTTCGAGTTTGACATGCGATACGACCTGATGGGTCAATGGGTCACCCTGCTTATGAGTGACGATTCTGCATCGTGTTCTGGTGACAGGCGTTCTGTTTATACATCGGTATCCTTGCATAAAGCGATTGCATTATTTTGTTTATCTATGTACTCTATTGGCTTTCCGAAGGTTATACCTCCTCATGATACTCTTTCTTATGACTCTCATATGGCATCATGCAGTTCCAGGAACCCCGCGGCGGGATGCCAGGAATTAGTCTGGTTGCAGACCCACTTCAGGGTCTCCCCGTGGCTACCTACTGATCTCCATCCTGCTCTGCTGTCGTCATTTCTTCCAAGGTTCATATTTTCAGGTTTTAGAAAATTCCTCACTCACAATGTCTATCGGAGTTGCTATTATTGGCAGTGGTAAGTGATAGTCACTCTGAGATACTGCTTTGGCATCGACTGACAGAGCACTCAGGCATCTTTGCCCGGGAAGAACACTTGGTACGAAATCCATAATTCCTTCTTTCTTCAGTGAAGCTATTCGAGCTCCCAGCTGATGTCGCGATCCACAGCCCGTAGCCCGCGCCTCGCCCGATTTCACGCTCAAGGCGATTTATTCCCGCTCCCTCCAGTCAGCACAGAACCTCGCCTCTGGAGTCGAGGGAGTAGATCTATACTCGGAGGATGCCGGCACCGGCAGAAGCTACGCGGATCTCATAGCTCGGGAGGACGTGCAAGCTGTCATCATCGCGTGAGTGCTTGATCCAGAAGCATACGATATTTACTTGCCGAGCTAATCGAATGCCCGGGCAGCTTGCCGATTCTCGCCCAGCCTGAGTACATCAAGCAGGCTCTTAGCGCCGGGAAACATGTCCTGTCCGAGAAGCCCATTGCCAAGGACCTGGCCACCGCCCAGGAGCTGTTGCAGTGGTACACTGTCAACATCGACACCAGCAAGACTCTCTGGGCCGTCGCGGAGAACTACCGCTACCTGGCCAAGTTCATCCGGACCGCCGAGGAGGTCCGCAGATTGGGCGGAGTGAAGAACTTCCGCGTGAGCGTGCGCAGTCTGATCAAGACGGACTTCAAGTACTACAGTAAGAATCTCCCGTTCTACGTATGAGTCTGGATTACGAGTTGCGCGAGAATGCGGGCAGGCTGACAATGTCACACCCAGAGACGGAGTGGCGTCGGACCCCAGCCCACCAGGGCGGATTCGTCCTTGACGGCGGCATCCACCTCGTCGCGGGACTGCGGCTGATTCTCGGAGAGCAGGAGGCGCTGGCCTCGGTGTCCGCGCAATCGAGTCTCCTGCAGGAGTATCTGGCTCCCGTGGACACCGTGGACGCCGTGGCGCAGACGAAGTCCGGAGCATCGGGCGCCATCACCATGTCGTATGGCTCGGCATTCAACGACTTTGTGTTTGAGTTCGACTGCGCGCAAGGCGCGGTGACGCTGAACGGCGACCGGGTCACGGTCAAGGGGGAGAGCTTCGAGGTGCCCTTTGAGGGCCGGGGAGTGAACCACGAGGTGGCTGGGTTTGCGGCATCGATTCGGACCGGTGCGGTGCAAGCCTTGTTGCGGCCGGAACAGGCGCTGGCGGATTTGGAGGTGATGGAGGGGATCTTCACGAGCCATGGGGCGCGGGTTGACCTACGACTGCAATAGATAATAAGTTAGTCGGTGGCGAGTAGAGCAGTAGGATAGACGCATAAGGTCGGTCCAAGACAAATAAGATTAGTCATGTGCATGATAGAACGGCATCCATGGTCGGAACTAACCCGATTGAGACGGCGGCAGTCAAGGGCACGCGGGGCGAGCCCTAACACACGGAAGGGGTTAGTCTCGCTTAGCGAAGCCACTAGGGCGAGTCTTGCTCGGGCGGCCAAACCTGAAGCGCGAAATCTCGAGACCGAATTTCGACCCCTACGACAACTCCCAGCGCCAGCCCGCGAGAAGACGACAAGGTATGTGTTGCACGATTGCCGTTGGTCTCACTGCATACTGACTTGGGATTTGTTCAAGATGGTCCTCGCAAAGAAGCACGTCCCCATCGTCAAGAAGCGTACGTTTGCACCTTGTCCTAATATCCTCACCCACCATGAATATATCCTGCCGGGAGTCAAAGTTCAGCCATCAGTCGATCGGTCCTTGGTAGCCAGCCAGCAATCGTATTACAGCGACACGGAAGAACGACAATTGCAACGAGGAAGAGAACGAGGAGGATGATCTGGATAGAACGATGGTTGATCACGAAGGAGGATTCGATTTCTGAATGGAATGAGCGATTCGGACGACCAATTTTACTAGTCGAATGCACCGACAGCTCGACACGACAGCTTTGAGCACGCCGCAAAACGCATGCACGCAAATCATCACTGGCTTCCGAAGGACTGATTTACCTGGAAAACTCGAACCTGAGCTATCTCCCGAGGGCGAACCCAACCCACCGAAGCACATCATTATCACCCACGAGGGGACAAGTTTCGTTGACAATCTCCCGCTTTTACAGGCACCAAGCGTTTCTTCCGCCACCAGTCCGACCGCTTCAAGTGCGTGCCGGAGTCATGGCGCAAGCCCAAGGGTATCGACAACCGCGTCCGTAGACGCTTCAAGGGCAACATCCCCATGCCCTCGGTACGTCGCTTTCCTTGCCACGGATTGCGGAGCCCTCGACTAACAGGCCATTTCCCATCAATAGATCGGTTACGGAAGCAACAAGAAGACCAAGCACATGATGCCCTCCGGCCACAAGGCTTTCCTCGTCCACAACCCCAAGGACGTCGAGCTTCTTCTCATGCACAACCGCACCTACGCTGCTGAGTACGTTCTTACCCCCCATCACTGCAGCTTTCTTTTTCCATATCTATTGCAGGACCCAACATACTAACGAACCCAACAGGATCGCCTCCGCCGTCTCTTCCCGCAAGCGTGTCGACATCATTGCCAAGGCCAAGGCCCTCGGCGTCAAGGTCACCAACCCCAAGGGCCGTGTCACCACTGAGGCTTAAATGGATTTTTTTTTATTTAAATCAAAAAAGAAGAGAACCTATTTATGGAATGATAATGTAAAGACTTTCCCAAACCTGCCACCCCCGAACCTACCTTTCTCTGTGCCCCCACTCCAATTCTCATCTCGAAGATCCGGAATTTAAAAATCAAACACTTACATGATCGATGAGGAAAAAAGACCATGAATACCAATATCATCTCTATGAATACACCACCTCTTGAAATATAAAAAAATCCAAACGGGAAAAGCAAGCCTTGACCGGGATCGAGGGTATCAAATCATCTGGGGACTTGACTTTTGTCATGAAGTGATGATATGATGCTTTGTCTCGTGGATGGGGACGCTAGGCTGTGCTTGTCGTTTCTGTTTATCGAGAAACCCGGGTAATGGTTTGTTTCTTCTAAGTGTGGGGGGCTGCTTGGCTTGATGCAGAGCGATTTAAAGCAAGATAAAGATATGTCAATGCGATGCGCGTGGCTTGGCTGGTGCTGCTGGTCTGGGAATGATTTGTCTTTTTTGGGGGGGAGATTGGGTGTGGGGTCTGTAGTGTCAGGGCTGTAGTGTTGTTTCCTGGTGCTGTTACTGTTACTGTTTCCCTGTGGGGATGTGGTAGACACTCATTTGATGTTGTAGAGATATCCCAAGGTCTAGCGATGTGTGTTGCTCTACCGTTGATGCTGGAGTGAGTTGACCCAGTAATGCAGGGAATGCAGATTCTTGCTGAGGGAGTAAAACGGAAAGAAATAGACTGAACTTCTATTGTGATATCATCGCGGTTCTATGTACCAAAAACAAGATCTATGCTGTGGCTTGCGCTCCAACACCAGTCTCCGCACTAGCGGCGGCAGCAGCGGCAGCAGCAGCAGCTTCATGCGCTTGTCTCTCCGCCGAGATATCCACCAACCCGACCCCCTGGACCAGCGCCGGGATGCCTCCTCGCCTCTCCGCATGATTCTTTGAGTTATCATCGCCATCCCCATCCCCACCGAGCTCCGGCACCGTGCCATACCCGATCACAATCTCCTCGTCCTCGGGGACATCGACCCAGTCCGGCATCGCGCGGGGGCCGTCCACGCCGACGGGGGGCAGGCCCCAGCTCGGCATCTGGCTGGTGTACTTCCAGCCGTCGGGGCCGCTCTTGTCGGCGTACGCGGCCGCATGCAAGAAGATGCCCAGCTCCTCGGGGCTGGGGTCGGTGTACAGCTCGGTGTCGCAGACGGAGCAGCGCTCGCCGGACAGGCGCTCGCCCTTGCGCTTGTGGTAGCGCTCGACGGCGGCCTCGTGCTCGCGGGACATGATCTCCTCGACGACCGAGGCGTCGGTGCCGGGGGGCACGAGCGGCGCGGCGGTGAGATGCGTGCGGTAGCTGTTTTCGCTGCTGTCGGGTTTTGTGCTTGTGCCGGGAGCACCGGCAGCAGCAGCCTCGGCGACGGTCTCGGTCTTGCCCAGGTTCGACAGGCGGGCGATCAGCTCCTGGTCGCGCTCGTCGGAGGTCTCGTTCTTGCCCAGGTCCGGGCCGAAGACTTTGCGATTGCTGTAGATCGGGTCGTTGGAGATCGGATGCCCCAGGAACTGCAGGTGCACGCGGATCTGATGCGTGCGGCCCGTCAGCGGCAGGCAGTGCACGATGCTGTAGCCTTCTTCTTCGTTCGCGTAGATCGGGGGCGGTGTCACTACCCCCGTCCTTGCCTGCCCTCCAACCTCTCCCGCTGCATCACCATCCCCCGATCCCGCTGCAGCAGCGGACGGAGGAATGTACGCCAACCGGCGGAACTTCGTCTTAGCCTCCTTCCCCGTGGCGCGCACGCGGTTCAGCCCGACCTTGGGACTCACCGACATGATGGGCTGATCGCACACGACCACCCCGTCGGGGAACCGGCCCTTCACGCGCGCCACGTACTCCTTTTGCAAGGTGCGCGCCTTGAGCTTCTCGCACATCATCTCCGCCGCCTTGGGGTGCTTCCCCAGGAACATGACGCCCGAGGTCAGCCGGTCCAGGCGGTTACAGGGCCGCGGCACCCAGTCCGGGTGCCGCTGGGACCGCAGGATCTCCAGCACCGAGTTGTAGTGGTACCGGCCGGCCGAGTGCACGGGCACGCCGGCCGGCTTGTCGATCACGATCAGGTCGTCGTCCTCGTGGATGATCCCGATCTCCTTGCCTGTCACGGGCGGCTCGTGCCGGTGCAGCGTGTGCGAGATGATCTCGCCGTTCTTGACGACCGTGTGCGGCGTGCCTGGTTTGCCGTTGACGCAGACGAGGCCGGTTTCGAGGGCCTTTTTCTGTCACCATGCGAGATTTTATGTTAGTTGGATGAGGGAATGGAGGGGAGTGGAGGGAAGGGTCACCGTACGTAGTATTCGGCCGGTCGATCGCGGAACTCCGACAGGAAGATGTCCAGCAACTCCCGCCCGCGCCAGCGCTCCTTGCAGTAGGTGTTGTAGGTGTAGTGGTAGGGCTTCACGCGGCGCAGTCCGCCTTCGAAATAGTAGGGAGCCGGCCAGGGGTCGCAGGGAGTCACGGCCACCTCCGGGGGTTCCTGGACCGGGTCCGGAGGCGGCACTTGGAGGGTCGTGTCGACGGGGACAACGGCCATGCTGGACGTCGGGATCAGGCCTCGTCGCAGCAGGTATGCGAAAACGCGAGGTGAGGGAGCCAAGGTCGACGACTGGCAGGGATGACAGGATAAGAGGAAAAAGGAGGGTGAGTAGTGTGGGGTTTACGATGAAAGAGATAAGCTCTGCGGCGGCGAAAAATGGCAAAAGAAAAAAATTAACTAAAGTCCCGCAGGAAATTTTGGTGGTGCGGGGAAAGGGGAAAACAAGTGGATTTTGAGTTATCGGAATCTATCAAATAATACAGTACGGTAAACCTTTCTATTGACCTCCGAGTTTCCTTTTCAACACCTCCGCCTACGGCCGATAACCCAGTCAACCCACCTGAGATCGAGTCAATTCTGATGTAGCCAAGGTATTATGTGTGTAGGAACCTACATTTCGTGTAGGCGCGACGGCAGGACAACAACATCCTCAGATGTATATTCCTGAAGTGTCCGGTGAACCCAGCCCCGCATGTAGCACATCCACATTGCCGCATCGTCGAAGTCAAACGATATGCTTCCTTTGGCTAAGATCTGGCCCAGTACATCAAGAGCCTTGGACGTCAACGCGGAGTGGGAAGGAAATGAGCGAAAAGCCCCATGGTTGTCGATTGACTTAAAGAATTGACTCTCATCCTTCAAGACTTCCAGCACGTGGTCCATTGTGATCGTATGGATTTTTCCCTGTTTACTAAGATCGCAATGCGCCTATACTCAAATCAGTTTGCAAGAAGCAAGCATAAAACTGAATCCGTTCACTTCCTGGGACAGTACAGTGCATACATTGAAAAGGATATCGACCATGGCGGCCACCATCCCGGGATGCGCACTTGTCAGCTTATACAAGTAATCCATAGCCGTGCGATCAATCGTGAACTCGTCATCGAACCCCCGTGTCGTCCGAAGTGCTACAACTTCACGAACTTCGTCTACGGTGTAAAACAAGCCGATACTTACCGAATACAGGCCAGGTCGAGGGGCCAGTGCGATATGCGACGCGATACCAAACGTCGTCGGAGTATATGCATAGTCCAGGTCCCTCCAATTCACGCCGGTCACAGGGTGTCCATAGTATGCGAAAAGGCAGATCTTGATATCCCCCAGGCGAAGCCCAGATTGCACATCCTTGATGACCGTATTCCAGAACTTCATGTCGCGGTAGGAACCCTGAGCCTCGTCGATCAGAATCACCGTCTTGGCAGGAACCGATGCCCATGTTGGATCGAACTCAGGATCTCGTTGTCACAGGCGCCAGCCGAACTGAGTCCAAGGGGATCCGGGGGGTGCTTCTTGGCGCCCCCATACAGGGAGGAGATACACGTTGCGATTGTGGTCGAGGTAGTATTCCCGGAGCAATCGGCACAGGACCGTTTTCCCGGTGGCTGGCGTCCCACGCACGAGAACGGCGTTTTCAGAGTCCACCGCGGCGGCGAGCTTGGACACGGTATCCTGGCGCTGACATGTCTATTCATCAATAGCGGTCAGGAGTGAACTCATAGCCTCCGGGGAAAGTGAGTCTGAGTGTTGCATGCTTACAATCGGGGGCATGGGATCGCGCGTACTCATTTTGCTGGTAGATTGCTGGAAGAGGGTGGCTTTCCTGTGAAGCGTCGTTGGCGCCCTCGCGGCGAGTCGAAGGTGCAGGAACAGGATGAGAAGCTGAGGGAGAACTCATGCTTTGAAAGGTGAGCTGAACTCACTTGTTGTAGAGAATATCTGTGAGATCGGTTGTGTCTCTTCTCGCCTCTCCCTGAGTTGCTTCCCTCAAATATACCTTTCCGCTCCTTTCTCGGGGTTACGGGGTGTAGGATGACAACAAGTTGATGTGGGAGCCGACAGTGGTGAAAGTAAACTGAAACCAGACAGGATCTCATGCGAAGCACCAACCACCGAAGATGTGAGAAGTTGCTCGCGAAACAGCAATGCTCTGCAGAATACGATGACTCTCAAGGGAAAGGGGTAATGACAGCTGAGAGGAAGGAGATTAAAAGATTTATATCGTTCACAAGTCACACACAAGTGACAGAACTCTAGCCTAGCAACTCCGTGTATATGTCACTATCTCCTCACTTACCCCAAGCACACCCGCAATGCCATCAACAAAGTCTGGAATTTGCCCGGACCAATACCCCAGAAATCTGATCGTTTCCTCCGTAATCATGACATACAGTCTCATCTCGTCTAAATGTATCATCAAGTCCCATATCTCAACCTCTTCTTCCGCATAGCCCTCTCATTACCTTCCGATCCGAGAGCGCAATTACTACTGCAATCGCTCCACTCATCACTCCAAACGTCGACACCATGGTCGCCCACCCAGCCTGATCAACCAGAAGACCCGCCATCAGAGGCCCAAGCACCTGCCCACCGGACCATGCCACATTAAACAGCCCGTATGCTTGCGCAGTGCCTCCCTGGTGGCCGAAAATGCCTGGATATTCCCGCTCATATCGCTCCGTGACTCGTCCCACCTCAACCATCAACGAGACCATCTGTAGGGTTGACGCGGCTCCAGCCAGAAAGAGGAAGACCACTAGCAGAACTTGATGCTGGACCGTGTTCTCAGTGACAAACTGGAAGAGGAGAAAGGTTGGACAGTCGAGCAAAAAGCCTAAGAAGGCGATTTGTAAGGCTCCGAGGCGGTCGACGGCATCGCCTTTGTGAACTCAAGGTTAGTCAAAGCCGGGTTTGGAAGTGGATAGACGTACCGATCCAAGGGGACGCGAAGGACGGTGCGAACAAGGGCAGGAAGCACAGGCCTATTCCCATCGGGCCCCAGTCGAATGTCTTCATGACATAGAGTGGAAGGACCTGGACCACGATCAGTTGCTGCAAGAAGATGGATGCAAGAGGATTGCAGTAACCACGGACCGTGTCGAATGAGGAGTACAAGATGGCATCGACGACAGTCGCCATCAACACAACCATCAATTTACCAGAGCATATCAGCCGAACAATGCCCGGTACGGACGTCTCTTTCCCGCTCGAGACGGGCTCACTGCCATCCTCGACCGGCGGTTCAACGAGCACATCATCAGGTGGACACAGCGAGCTTGCACTGTCCTGTTCACTGAAAGCGCCGTAACCGGTGCTCTTACCCAGCAAACCACTGGATTCTTCCGTCTTTGACGGAAGCCACTTTGCGGCCGTCTTCTGCTCGATCATGACCAGGCGAAGACTGATATCCACCACAATCAAAGCAATCGCCAGCAGGAACACCGAATGGTACCCAACTCGCGAGAGCCTGCACGGGTACTCGTTAGCGACCATCTTCCTCCCACCCTGACAGCATGAATGCGCGAAACGTACATGATCCCACCGATGAACGGGCCGAAAACCGTCCCAACTGTCAAAGCCATAGAGACGTATCCCATGGCCGCCCCGACCTGGTCCTTGCCCACCGTGTCCACAACAAGCGCCATGCCGACAGTCCACACCACAGCTGCCGACAGACCTTGCAGAGCCCGCGCGATCACCAGCGACGACAACGACCTCGCGAACCAGAACACCACGGTCGTCCCGCCGAGGGCGAACAGGCCGATCATGAACGGAAGCTGGCGCGATGAGCTTCTGTCCGCAAAATATCCGAAGATGGCTTGTGAGTCGTGACTGGTCAGGTCCTATTCTCCGAGCATACCAAATGGCGTAGGCGCGCAAGCTGTCACTCACGAGAACCAAAGAAAATCCCGCCCCCAAAAGCAGCAAGCATGATCGACATCCATTGCTGTACTGTGAAGCTTTGTGTCAGTGGGCCTTTGTCTGCCAATACAGGCATAGGAAAACATACGGTCATTATCCGGCACAGCGACTCGCGTTTTCAAGACAATCGGTAATATGGGCACGATCTAGCAAATGATCGTTCCAGTCAGACACAACTCGTCACCAGCATTCATCACCGGAGAACCGCACCATGCCATAGATGAAAACGTCCTGCGTGCGGCGAAACGGCAATTAGCATCGTGTCCAGAAAAAAATAAGCGACACCATCCTTATCTCTCCCCTCCCTCACTCACCGTAAAACAAGCAATGGCCACCACCCAAGTCACAAACGTCTTAGAAGAGCGAAAGGCCAACTTCCATGGTGGGGAATCGCAGTCTGTCGCTGCCATACCGAATGTTCCGCCGACAGGAGGGGGCGATAAAGTATGCAGAGTTCGAAAAGGGTCAACGACACGAACAAGTACCCGAGTCGCACATTATGGCCCAACGCCGTCTTAGGGAGTTTAAATAGCTCAGCGGCATCGGCGAGGGGAACAGAAGAGGAGGAGGGGTTTTTTCTCTTCGACAAAGCAAAGCAAAAACCAAAGAGCAAAGTAAAGCAAAAAGGGTGGGCTGAGCTGACAAGTCAGTTAACTATAGGCCTACGGTTGTGGGGAAAGGAGAACTAATGGGACTGATTTGCCCTTTTCTCCCTCTGCCTCTAAACTCGATGAGGTAAAATTTCGCAGAGCTGCATCGTCAGCGCATGAGCTGTCGGGATTGATTGGCATCGGCTGAGATCCGCAGAGTCTATCTATTGTTTCGGTCTACTGATGTGTGCAGTAGGGAACTAAAATTACTAGCTAGGCAGGTAGTTGGTGATATCCTTATCTCTATCATCGTGACCGCTCGTTGGTGGCTCCGGCCGAGATAGTGTGTATCTAGATGATAACTAAGGTCGCCTACATCCCGTGATAAATAACTCGACTAGATCATTCTATAATGGCACTATTGCACTAATCTCACGCAAATGACTTATGTCCAAATTTGAAGACGGCAAAAACATACGTGGACAAATTCACCGACACGAACGCGATGGGACAGGGGCACGCACAGATTGGTGTCCGAGTTGGACAAGATTCTGGTCCAGTGCTCAAGAAAACCACCAGTGCATGTCATTTAATGGCTCTCCACTGTCGTCATCATCTTCTTCATCATGCTATCAAACTGGTTTGCTCGGATCGTCAAATTAGGGTCATGGATTCATCAGCGAAGCACAAGAACACGACTGACTCCCACACGCCGTTCCTGGACCCCCGAACACACGATACAGAGAGGAGAAGAGGAGTAAAATGTTCGTCGGTAATGAAAGAGCGATCGATGTTGCAAGAATGAATTAGGAGAAAGAGAAGCCATGATTCAGAAACAGTTAACGTATACATTCACTTCCTTCACATCAGCCATCATGATCATTGGTGTATAACAGTTCGTCCACGTACATGGGAATAGCTAGCTCAGAGGAAAACCGAAGAAAACTGGAAAAAGAGGGGGAAAAGGAAACTTTTCGACATGCTTGACTGAGAGCAATAACTAGATCCTGATCGTGGGCCTAGCCGGAACAGACAATCGGAAGGGGTAAAGAAGGGGAGAATGGTTCAAAGACGTGAAGACAACGGGTCATCAAAACAAATTAGCCACCGACATAACCAAAATCAATCCGGCTATTCGAAGAGAGCACACGGAGAATTGCTGTTAGGTCCAGGCCACGGCAGGGATCCAGTGCCGCGAGCTGGGACGCTCTGGCGGTAGTAGCGCGATATTTTGGTCAAGTGATGAACAGCTCTGGGGTATCGATGAATCTATGCGAATCGGCCACCGCGGCGGTTGTTGCGCTGTCTCCCCGAGCCAACCGTGCTCCAGCCCTCCTCGTCGGCGGCTCCAGCCTGGGCCTCAGCGGGGGCGCTCCGCCAGCTGCCGTTAGTCTTGTTGGCAGCCGCATCGGTAGCAGCAGCCTCAGCACCCTTAGCAGCCGCTTCCTCGCCCTGGTCCTGTTCAGCCTTCTCGGCACCCTCTTCCTCACCGGCCTGCCGGAGGATATCGAAGTTCTTGCCACCCTGAGGTGTGTCGGTGACGTCTCTTCCGTTGGGGTCAGCCGTGGACACCGGCTTTTCGGTCTTGCCCTGCTCCTTGGAAGCGCGTTGCTTCTCGCCCTTCTCAGCCTTGGCCTTCTCATCAGCCTCCTTCTTCTGGCGGATGGCAAGTTGGCGACGCTCCTCAACCTCCTTCTCGCGGGCAGCGGTGTCGATGGGCTTAGCTCCACCGAAGATGCTGGCCTTGGACTCGCCGCCGGCAGCCGGGGACGAAGACTCAGTCACAGTCCGTTTCTGGAGGTTCAACTTGGGGCGGCTAGGAGCGGCGGGAGCGGCAGGGGCGGCAGCAGGCGAAGGGGGGTTGCTGGACTCCTTAGGCTGATCGGGGCGCATTCTGGACCGCCATGCGTTGTCGAGGTCGGCAGCGGTGGGCGTGCGTTCTTGACGTTCTTGGAATTCGCGGCGAGGAGGACGAGAGCCATCCTGAGAGCGTCCCTCACCAGAGGGTCCCTCGTGGGAGCGGCCCTCACCCCAGGCGGGGGAGCTGCGTCTGAAACCAGGTCCTTCGTTGCTGCGGGGGCGCCCTTCTCTCACGGGGGCGGGAGGAGACAGAGGGCCCTTGCGCTCCCAGTTGTTGAAATCGCGGAACTTGCCATCGCTCTCGAAGTTGCTGCGACGGTTGTTACCGCCGCGTTCACTGCCTGCATCAGACATGTTATCCATGTTGCGGCCGAAGTTGGAGCGATCGAAGTTGGAGCGTTCAGGGACGCGGCGCTGGGGAGCATCCGGAAGAGGGCCCTTGCGGGTCCAGTCAAATTCCTTGACATCGCGCTCCTTGGCTAAAAGCGGTTGTCAGCCAGCATATAACAGTATCCAAGAGTAGCAACACCTACGAGGCTCAGCGATGCTGACACGGATCGCTCTTCCCTGAAGAGTAGCGCCGGAGAGGTCGAGAGCCTTCTTCAGACCATCGACAGTTTCAAACTCGACATATCCGAATCCCTTGGGGGCCTTGGTCAACTTGTCCTCCACAACACGGACGTTGGTCACACCGCATTCGGCAAAGAGATCGGAGATATCGGCAGAAGCCGCATCGAAGGACAGATTACCGACGTGGGCGGTATAGGGAGGCTGAGTAGGAAGAGGGAGAGGCTCTCTGACGGCGTAACCACCACGCTCGCGTTCTTTCATCGAATCATGTCAGCCTGGGAAATCCCTCGAACTAATTTTGTAGCGGAGAAGCCATACCACCAAATCCATTACCGAAGCCGGAAGAAGAGGAAAGGCCCATAGGGCGGCGGTCGCCTCCGAAGCTGGTCGAAGAAGGGGCTGGCTAATGATTAAATTGATGCCATCATGATGAGACTGAGGGTGCGCTCCAAAAAACCACGTACCGGCTGTAAATCATCGTACGATTAGCAAAGATCGTTAGAACTATTTCAGAATGAGAAACACTTACCAGGCAAAGGCATGTCGTCCATCTCATCAGCCCAAGAGCCGAGGGCTAGTCCTCATCAGTCATGTTCATCCCCGCGGGGGTATGGGGATATCTCGACGGACTTACACTCATCAGCCAAGAAGTTGCCTAGCGACATCTTCTGGGCTTTCTGCTTTCCGGGCGCTGAACATATGAAAGATACATCAGTAAACAGGGACATCTTTGAGAAGTAGAGAGGTGTGGGTTGCGACAGCGCGCAGGGCCACAGAGAGGGGTTGCAAACGAACCCATGATTGCGGTTGTTCAGAATCGGGGAAACGCGCCAAGGGGAGTTCCTGTGCGCGTCTCGGGGGTTGAAGGTGAGAGTTAGATGGGGGTGAAGAAGACTTCCGAATTAGAAGTCTTGAGAGAATGCGGAGGATGACGTTCAAAGGACGATGAACGATGGGTGGGTTGGGATGCAAGGAAGCTCCGCAGTTGAAGAACAGAGGGGAAAGTAGGTTTATCCGTGAGGATAATTTTTAGTGATGACACTAAAAAAGTCAGCCTCCAAAAAGTGTTGGTGCGGCTTTTGGGCCTGTTGGCGCTCGACCCAACCAAGTAAGTCCCAGTCCAGCTTCCCGAGGGCTTTTTTCCCCTTCCAGTCTTTCCCAGCCCGGCCCCCTCTTTTGCTTGGGACTCTTTTTGCGGAGAGAGAGACAAACTGTGTGAAAGTGAAACTCTCCACTTGAGTTTTTTTTTTTTCTATTCATTCTTTTCTTTTCTTTGAATCATGTGTTCCCAATTCTTAGTACAGGTTCAAATACCTTTAAGTCGTTTGCTGTGGGGGTATTTCTTTCTTCGCTTCTTACTCTTCCTTTTCACGCCTCATCCCGGCCGAGCGCATCTTCACTGCTCATATCAGCCGGCAGATTTGACATGCAGACAATCCCCCCCCCCAAAAGAAACAAAAATCTTTTGCGGGGATGTTAAACATCACCTGTAATGTTTGTGAACCATGCTGCCTTGAATTATTCTTCTTCTTGACACAATTCTTCCCCGCGGATACATCCGCAACACTACTGCATGGAGACAAGACTTCCATTAGACTATTCAGCTTTCACCGACAAGAAAAATTAGGTAAGGCTTCTGCATTCTTGCCATTCTTCATGATTGTGTGTTACAGCTTCTGGCCCCATTATCCCCTCAGCTGGCTGGGCACGAGGAAGCAAGGTTCCATGCCCGCTGTGAAACAAAGAGAAGTAAAATCTCGGGTGACTTGCAGCCACTTGAGGTTGCTGCATCCTCTCGCCTGCATCTTTACAATTGGACAGAAAAAAACCATTGCAGGCTTCCTTGTGACTGTCATGAAAGATCAGCTCGCTTAAGATATCAGACGGTCAAACTGGTATGCTGCTTTCAAACATTGGCTAGTAGAAGCGTCCGTGTAATGGATTAGGTTTAGCATCAAGGTTTGCTGAGACATCAGAATGCAAGTCATTGTGCAATACTCGGCGCAAGGCGGGTCAAGAAAGGATGTAGGCCCTCTTTGTATAGTCAGCATCATGAGCCGTCTTCCACTTTTCGCTTCACATCCAGGCATGCCATTAGACATGCCATTATATAATCAAACCCATATGCCCTGAATTTCGCCAATTGTCTTAAAGACGTCGGATTGCAAATGCCATAGATATGGACACAGACTGTGCTTTGGATGGCCATATGATATAAACGGTTTGAAATGACTGCTCGGCTTAGTCGGTCAATTGAACTTTGACTCCGTAGAGTATATGCATAGGGAAACAGTCGAAACCAGTCGCAGTATTCAGTGCGCACAGTGCTCAAGAAAAGACTTCTGACTTAATTGTGTGAACGAATTGTACGTTTGCTGGCAAGTGCAATCGTGGGCACTTTACGCAGTACGCGACTCGTTTCGCTCGACAGAACAGACTAGCTTTAGAAAGGTGCCTGCGACAGTTGCTCCAAGTCAGCCACGGTGTTGATATAAAGATACAAACTGCAAGATCAAGCATCCGAGTCTTGCGAGCGACGGACTACCCGATACAAGGTCTTGAAGCATTTTGTGACTTGTGTGGAGAGATATTTTCAATGATGCGTTGCAATTAGGCTAACGCTAAGAAGAGCAAGTATGCTTTGAAGCATTGCCGTCAACGTCCAGACGGTCAGTCATACTGTTGTCGTGTGCTCTCTTCGATTACCGCACACGCAGTACAAGCAATAGCACTGGGGGTTGAGTGAGGCCCAAGCAAATTTGTATGCACCTGGCCAGTGAGACGAGCGTATATTCAGCCGGGCAACCATATAGACCGTAAGGTCTCATGAATTCCGGCCAGAACAAGTCAAAAAATGACAATTGCAATAGAAGACAAAGGGAAGAAGTGGTCAAGCTCTGTTCTTCAGGTTGATAACTGGACCCGCTTGGATTGCGGGCAGATCAAGACCCGCTGTGGTGACATCATCCTCCGCCCGCAATTACTCGTTTCTATACGGTATAACTGATGTTGCGCTCTCAGCCTTGAATTAATGAGACTTCAGATATATATGCTACTGACTGTGATTTCTGCAGACAGCATGTATGTAAGATGAATTAATTGCTGCTGAGTGCCGGTGTGGACATGGAAGGTCCAGAGCCTTTCAGATTCGCGATTATGCACACAAATACATGACAAAGCAGCATATTCCCGAGCCCAAATCACGTGTGCCATTATGGTTTTCCCTGGCGATGAACCGATTACTTGGGCAATCGTCAGCCTAGAGGTGTAACTAACCAACGTACGAAGTAGATCTGAGGGTAATATTTGACTTCGATGTCGACAGCGAGCAGGATGAGCGAACAGAAGAAGAACCAGTCTACGTTTTCCCCGCTCGTCAAGGCAGGAGCTCTGAGCGGTTAGTCCCTTTAAAACCCGGCGAAGCCTCCACGGTTGTACATTTTTCGCATCAATTCCATGATCCCATGTTCTTGCATAGCATGGCGATAACTGCGATGGCCCACTGACATGCCACGATAGGCTCTCTTGGACTGGTGTATGGAGGTGTTGCAGGTGTCATCCGGTCTCCTAATCCGGTGATCCATTCTCTATCTTGCGGTGTTCAATGGGCTGCAACTGGGAGCGGTTTCTGGTGTAAGTGTTCCCTCTTGGCTCCGTGTCGCGTTGATTTTAGCAGAGATCTGAGTCTCCCCCCTGCAGTCTTGAGAGAGAACATCTTAAAATATCATTTTGAAAACAATGCCGATTCTAAGCAACGCGCTTATGTCAGCGCTCTATCAGGGGGCATCGCTGGAGGCACCGTTACCCGACTACTAGGTACGTCGATTGATCATTCTTCGCTGTGGTCACTGCTGGGGAAAACTGCCTGCAATACTAATACCTGGCGTCAGGGGGTCGACTAATTCCAGGAGTGGTGTTTTTTTCGACACTAGGCTATCTGGGCCAAAGCACTTATAATGCGATCGACACATGGCAATTAGAAAAGGCCAACACTCCATCGAAGCCGATCCTTCAGCGGATCGCCGATTCAAAATGGATACCGCTCAAGTCCCTCTCCGATGATGATTACAGGGGGATCTTGCGCGAGAAGCTCCTGAGCATCGAGGCTGAGATCGCACTCCTCGATGAAAAGATTGAAGGGCTTGAGAAGCTCAAATCTCAAGGGTCAGATTTGTCCTCGTCCGACACATCCACCAGGTGACCAGAAAATCTAGCTCCGTCAATTTCTACCATGAACGGCCTTGGTGTAATAGAATGTTACGGGTTAACATTTTCTCCCTGGCCTGTTGCAACCCTTGACCTAGCCATGCCGATGCGGAGCACCGCGAAGATCATGCGGCCATTTGGCTATTCTGGCATCGATGATTGTTCTATAGAAGGATTGCTCCCCCAAGGCGAGCCCTAGTGAACCTACGGCCCGCAAAAGCGCAGTAGTTATCACCATGTATAACATCACTCTACTATGTTCCTACTTGTATAACCCAAGAATCAGGATTCTACCACCCAGATTAGAGCTGTTGAACTGTTGTAGCATGAACTTAGCTCTCTTTCAAACGTCTTGTGCAAATACTCAAAGGCCATGGGACTTGAAATAACGTCAAACGAAATGAGTTTGCCTCCTATCTAGGTTCAGGGACCGCAACTCTATAGTAGGCATTGCAGCGATTGACGTGGTGTAAGCTAATGGTTGTACTGTACCTCCATGCAAGCAAAACGCCAGATGACCCGAGTGGCTGTCACAGGGGTCGTAGTCAAACTGGAAGGGAGTGCATGCGACCCAATTGACATGCAGGTTCAATTGACAGGCACCTTTAATTTTACGAATTTCAATAAATCTGTAAGCTGATCTTCAGACGAACCACCCCTAAAAGGCGGGCAAACCCACCCACCTTCAGTACTACGTAAGCTGTTAACTTACATAGTACTAGAGTAACTTGTTACTTTCAGGCCTCGTACGAGGGGTGTACAACCGTGAGGAAACTGCCGAGCCAGCCGGACGGTCCGGCCACTGGGCAAAAGTGGATGAGTGGCCCGGAGTGGGTGGCTTTCCGCTTCCAGTTCTGCCGCGTCGGGTTCGACCTTTCCCGCCGCTGACAGCTGGTAGGTTGTATTATCCATCCTCGATTATTCTTCGAGCTGCCTCAACTACGGTTGTTGCATCATCGAACATCCAACTCTTCCCCTTCGCCTCAAATGCTCGGGAAAGAACATACTCAAACAGAACAGAAGCATGACTGACTTAAAACTGGCCCGTCCTTGTCGCATCATCTCCCCGGCTGGTCGGCACGTCTCGTATTAACGGAGACCTGTCCTTCGCCGGTTCCGCAGACAGGGAATACATCCCCCCCCCCTCTCTCCCCCTCGAGAACAGGAGGATCGCGGGCTCGATTCAAGACTGTTCGTCCGTTCGGACTGTTTATCCATCGTGGCTTGCGATAGCCTCCTTTCGCTCATTACCCTTATATAGATACCAAACGACCTATAGCATCTCCATGATTTCTTGGCTGACGACTCCCCGTCCTGTGCAACCGGTCAGTCCCGCTGATCGTGAAATACGATGACGCTCTTCAGTCCGACCACGATTCTCGTGGGCTTCCTTTTCTTATACCTCCTATCCTTCCTTATATTCGCCATTGTCCGAATTGCGACCGGAGTCTCCATCCAGCGAATAGGATACCTCTCTCTCCGTCGAATTACCTATGTCCCGAAAGATGGCGTGCAGATCGAACTCCGTGGCCTCGGGCTGTCCTTACATCCACCGTCATTTGCGCAACCTACATGGCTCAGTCTCAAGCTCACAGAGCTCAAAGTGACGCTGGATCCGTCAGTTTTGGGAAAAGCTCGCAAACCAGTGAACAGACCCGATGTCTTGGAGCCGCAGAGTCCTTCGGAGGACGATGATTCGAACAAGGAAAGCACGGAAACGGCTGGGCACAACGCTAAGCAGCGGAGTAAGACTTGGAAGAGCTTGATGCGCATCAAGGAGCAAGTGAAACAGTTACATCGGAAAATTCATTGGTTGAAGTTGGTGGATGTCGTGGCCGTCAATACTACCATCAATATTGTCGAAGCTGGTCAGATACAAGTGGGATCGCTGTCCCTGGGAGTCGATACCAGGCGCAAAATGGTCGATCGAGGCACTTTGTATCGGTCTGGGAAAACCGATGCTAGCGAACAGAAGCCCGCTGAGTGGATCATGAACGTTCAGAATGTGCTCCTGGCCGTTGATGGAGGCGAATCGACCGAAGTGCTGGACAATATTCGCGTGCATATACATGGCCTTCTCCATAAAGAACTGGATGGTCTCAGAGATGCTTCGATAGCTCTCAAGGTTGGAAGGATGCATGTTCCGTACGACGACTTGATGACATTCATGCAGCGCGTCAAGAAATCCAAGCAGTCGCCGAAAGAGCCTGTGGATAGCAACAACACTGACGACGAGATGTCGTTTGCTGACTTTGTCGAAGAACTTGATCAACCTGGGAGTAGGGATGACTCAATTGTACAGACCGTCGCAGATTCGAAAGAGTTTGCCGGTTCTATACTACGCGGCATACAAGGGATCCAGGTGGCGCTGAGCTTTTTCCGCCTGTCTCGGGCTTTTCAACCGTCGTCCGAAAAGCAAAGTCCAATATTTCTCAACGTCGTTTCTCACGAGATAGGCATCGACTTACACCGAATGGATCAGCAGAGTCCTGCCCATCGGATGTACTTTCAGCGCAAGGACGTCGCGCATCAGGCTCTTCTTGCCGCCATCTCTCTCTCGGTCAGCTTGGACGATGGCTCAGGTGAAAGCGACAACATACTCTACATCCCGATGGCCACAACCACGATAAAGACCACTCTTCCTTCCAAAACCATCAGCTCCTTTGACGACTACAACCCGGAGGAGCGCAACACTAATATTCTGTTTGCCAATTTGGTGGTTACCTCACCTTCCCTTGATCTTGAGCCAAGGCAGGTTTCTAGACTCCTCGGCTTGTCGCAGTCCCGCAGGCCATCACCCAGAGGCAAAAAAAGAGACAATAATCGCTTGATATCGCGATTGCTTCCCAAAGCAAGCATCAAAGTATCCATTCACGAGCCGGTGGTTAGATTTGTTCTGCCGATTACCAGCCCGGATCGAACCTCCAATGATGACTACAATCTTCTCATATCCTCAATATCTGCGATTTCGCTCGATATCGAGTCTTCGCACTCCTCAGAAGGTGGAGTGCATTACTCATTGTCTTCAATTTATCGGGTGGCTTCGCACAAATTATATTACCAGACACCATCTGGTATTAAACATAACCTCCTCACAACTGAGTCATTAGAGTTCAAGGTTCTATTGAGTGCTTCTCCAGAGGTACGCGTGATGGCATCAGGTAATCTAAATACCGCCTCCGCGCACATGGTCAATGATGAAGTGAATCGCGGAATCTACGAGGTCATTGAGCAATTCCGCGCTCATACCAAGCATAAGAGAACGGTGTCTATGTCCGTCGAAGAGCGGAAGCCCAGTGTTCTGAGGCGTGTCCCCCCATGGCTCCTTAGGTTCCAGTTTGAGGCCACTGGCCTTAGCTTGGAGATTGCCGGTGTTGATGCCAGTGTCTCATCGCTATCTCGTGGTGTCTCGTTTCAGCTGCAATCATGGACCGCAGACTATAAGGCCCAGAAGTCTGAGCCGATTGCTGTCAGCTTCTCAAGGCGACGTACGCCTAGTCATTCAACAATAGGTGATGAGTCGTCCTTCAAATTTCCTACCTCACCCCCAAGGCAGAAGCTAGGCGTCGCTGCCGATGGCCGTCGACTTGCTATTCATGTCCGTGGCTTTGAAGGATTCGTGATTGAATCAGAAGACTTTCTGGAGGCTGAACCTTTCTTCTCCCTTCCGAGGTTCGAGGTTGCTTTGAGCACTATGAGCGATCGCCTCGGACCGATTTTCAACATCAATTCTGTCTTCAAAGGGGTGTACCTCCAGTATTCGCTCTACCGGTATTACTGTCTTGGGGTTGCTGTTTCTGTGCTTAAGAACGCTTTCATGCGTAGGACATCCGGAAATCAAGACCAAGAAGCATCCCAGGGTCTGAACGGCTTCTCTCCTCCGTCGTCACGGGCTTCTTCCAGAGGCGAGCTTGTCACCGTCGATGTGAGGGCAACAGTCATTCAAGTCAAGACCTTCCTCCCTGCGGATCCCCCAATGTTGCTGCAGATCTACGGGCTCACAGGGGGGTCTCACCGCCTCTCTACTCCTTTTGTTCGAGCTCATTTGGTACGATTGCACGCCGAAGCTCCCAAACTCAAAGGGATCTGGGCTAGAATAATAAGCATGAACAATGTCAGGCTTGACTTGCGCAAGATGAAAATCAAGCAGGGCACGAGCATGGTTGAGCAGAAATCAATCGATGTTTGGGCGGACTTCATCCGACTTGGAGTTCCGCATCATATGGTCATGCATCGCATCTTTGACAACTTCATCAACACGTCTAAGGCACTCAAGCAACTTCATCAACGATTTAAGGGTCATTCGGCTGAGTTTGGAGCAGCAAGAGATCCGGAAGACCCGAAGAAAGTGCCTAGGATCTCCTTGCGCAGCAAAGCATTACTCTTTGAGATGGAAGATGATGCTTTTGAATGGAAGCTTGGGTGCATCTACCGCACTGGTTTACTGGAGCAGCGTCAGCGCCTGGCGAGGGAAGAGGCGTTTGAATTGAAATTGCAGAAGATCAAGGAGACAGATCAGCGACGCACTTCATCCAGGCTCCGTACCAGGTCAAGCCACCGGACCCTTCGCAGTGAACGCCAAAGTGAGGAAAGAAGGAGAAGTAGGAGTGCCGATGCAAAGCCGCGGAAGAGCTTGAATGATGACAAACGTGGACGGGACAGGAAGTTCCGTTATGATACGGAAGGTGCTGCTTGTCTATCGTGCGAATCCAAAATCTCTGCCGAAAACGCGTGGTACCGGCTTCAGGAGCACAACGCCCGATCCTGGAAATCAAAGATTGACTCCGCGCTACGGTTCCAGGGTACGTCGATCAGGGAGGTGAGAAACCTCTTCTCCGGCGCGGACGAACCGCCCGAAGACGTACAAGAGACAGAAACTGTCCTGTCAATCCCAAATCGACCTGCTATATTGTCGGCTCTGATAAGTGACATCAATCTTGTGATCGACAAGCCGTCTTTTCCTCTGGAAGATTATCCCAAGTTCCTCAACAGCAT